ATTTCATTTATATTAATTATAATTGTTGAATTATATATTTTTAAATACCGTACAAGAATTACTCATATTTTATTGCAATTTTATTTTTTTTAAATATAGTTATTTAGAATAAATTTTTAATATAAAATTTCTACATTTTGAAATTTATTTTATTGTATATTATCATTAAAATATATACATAGTTAAATAAAGGGATGTTATTTATACTAAAGTGTTTAAATAAAATCTATAATGAAATTCTCTGCAAAATTTTGTTATATGCAAAAATTTAATTAAAATGATTATTTTTAACATAGAATAAGATATATTGAGTGATCATAAAAAATGGGGGGTTTGAGGGGGGGGGGCAATTTTATTCTTCTTTCTATACAGAATGGATTCAATTAATTTACAATTGAATAAACATTGATAAAATTTTCAGAATATTGCTTTCAGTCGCGTATTAATCATAAATTTGGCCAAAATTTTGTTACTAATATTTTTTTTCATTTATGCTGGCTACTATAGTGGTTAGACACTAATAAAGCACAAAATATTGGCAAATTTTTAAAATGCGGTTTGGAGGCGAAGCCCCCCCTCCCATTTAAACCCCCCATGCTAGCTACACCACTGGTTCCAACTAATTATGCACATGCGCTTTACATTTTTTTAATTAATATTTTTTTATATTAATGAACAAATTTTCTTTTAGTATTTTCAACATAACACAAAGATGGTCTTTTTAAAGCATAAAATTACTTGTAAACCTCCTTTAAAAGAATTTGATTCTATATTAATTTCCAAATCTTATAAGGCAAAATTACAATCACAACTTTCTATTTAGTCAAAAATAAGTTTATAGATATTCTTTTTATTAAAAAAGCTTATTTCGATTATTTTATGATATAATTTTATGCAATATCATTGATGCACAAAATTATTTTAAGCAAATAAATTCGCAAATTTTAAAAATAATTTTATATTCAACTGATTTTTATTGAATAAATTTTAAGTTTAGTGCAATTCATTTAATGAATTCGTTTAAATAAGAATTTGTTCGAAAAAATGGTAAAAATAAGGGTATTGATCATTTTTTTCTATGATGTTCGAATCGAATGGAAATATATCAAATATTGTTTATGTATTTGGGCTCTAATAAGAGTTTCAATTCGAAAACGACGGCAGACCCTATATATATAAAATTATATTTTGGTGTTTTTAATAAAAGTCTTCTAAGTATTAAGTTTAACTTCGTAAATAGTTTCCAATTAATATTATAGTGCCTGAAAGGGTTGAGGTAGTTTTCTCTTTTATTTAAAATATACCTGTAATTAACCAAAAAAATAACCTGCAATAGCCATTTTATGACCTTTATAAAGTTTTCACTTAAAGGAGTGGAGGTTTTCTAGGACTCTAAAAAATCTGTCCTTCCAGTAGAAAGTATGTAGTATTGTTGGATGGTGGGTGTTCTGACGCAAACACACTGTAGTTATGCCATTGATCTACAATATTAATCGATATTTAATTCCTCTTTTTAAAAAGCTTTTAATTTATAGATTTCCGTACATTACTTAGTTTTCATTTCTTATAATTTCTATTTTTTCTAAACTAAAAAAAACAACTTTTCATAGTCAATTTGTAGTTATGTTCAAACCCAGTGAAGCTGACTGTGCATTTTTGAACAAAATATAACTATATTTCATGGCCTGTGCAAACATAATAAATCACTTTATATTCCATAATTTAATATTTATATTATATCAAATCTTCATTTAAAATGGAATAATTTATGAAATTTTTACAAAAATTACAAGAATTCAAATAAAAAATGTTAATTACTTTTTATTTAAGTTTATATTACACTTATGAGACTTTATTATGAAGAAGTATAATTGTGAATAGGGAAAAATTGCTTGGCATAATAAGTTGAATAACAAGAAATATTAATTGCATAAGGTAATATAATTTGAATTGTATCAAAACAAAAAAGTATTTGGCATAAGGAGTTGAATATTGTGAAGAAATAATGCAAAAATAAATATAACTTACCGGGTAAAAAATGATTTGAAAATATATCAAAAAATTCCATAGGGCTAACTATTTCTTTTATTACATTTTGTGCTGAGGGTAGAAGAGACTGGGGTTAGGTTAACCACGGGGGTTGGCAAACACTTAATCTCATTTTAAAATTAAATAGACCAGAAGTTTAAAATTTTATCCTTATAGTTTTATTAGTTTACATCTATAGATAAAAATTTTTTTAAATAATTAATTATGACTATCTGAAGCTTTATAAAACTTAAAATATTTTGCCCTATATTCATCGTTAGTAGCTCTAATGATATAAAATCGCTCCATTTGAGCCGTTTTCTAAAAATGGTTAATTCAATATTTTAGCTAAAAAAAATATTGCCTAAGCCTAGAGATTTCGCTAACAGATGTCCAAACCTTTGTGCCATCTATGATCAAAATCTTCCGGCTTGCGTAATATTTTTTTGAATAAAATACTGAGTTAGCCGTTTTTTTTATATGTGAGTTAGTTAATTATTGGCGAGAACAAATTTTAATGATGGCTCAAATGGAGTGCTGCATCACTAAGTACCTCATCAACTATATCAGAAGTATAAAACGAAGCTGATCACTTCACACTAATTATGATACTATCGGTTATTTCTATCTAATTCTTGTAAGTAAGGCCATCAAATTTTATGTTAAATTGAATAATTGAAGCAGCTATAAAATGTATAAATATTAATTTTAAAAAAATAATATTGAAATGTTGATTCTAGGATTAAGGAATCATTAAAAATAATCCTAGGTTTATGAATAGTAAATTTTCATTTATTAGGAAATATTTTTAAGGAATCAGATTGAAATAGGTTCATGATAATGTAGAAAAGAGTGGTTAAAATATCGGCATTGGAACTACTCTATAAAAATTGGGAGTTTTGTTATTTGAGTGAAACCGTGAACGCAGACGGAGGTGTTAATTCTGTTGTTGTAAGGGTCAGATATAAATGGTAGAAGTTCCGATAGATGTCGTCTATTATAACAGATAGAATAGTATTTCTAGAGCTTGGAGGATATGTTTATGTAAGCTGTAAAGTCTAGAATGTCGAACAGATAAAGTTAATGGAAAGAAAGGAGATGAGAATGGTGTAGGGTATCTATAAAAGAGAGAAAAGCAAAGAATTGTGGGAAAAGATTGGAATAGAAAAGATTAGTGGTGATGAGAAGAAATAGAGTGAGATAGTTTTGGCACTTATAACGAAAGACGATAAGGCTAAGATAGAAGACCTCGAGAAGACCAATAAATATGATAACGGGTTACATGAGAATAATAAGCCTTACTAATAGCGACGGGACCGTAAAAAGTGGGGAAAGATATCAGAGTGGAAACTGGCTTTCCCAGGTTAAGCTGATAAACCATCATTAAACGATAAAGAAGATCTTAAGCTCTATAACGTTCTCAAAATCGCATTGAGAAGTTAAAAACCCTCGAGCAGTTTATAAGTCTTAAAACAAATGTTTAATATTAGCTCTAGCTACTCTATCTTGTATGTATGGTCATTTTCTACATTTAATAGTTTGAAGTTATTTAGGAACAACTTCTATCCAGCTAATGATCTTGCAATATATGTATATATACTGAGATGAACTCCTACAAATGAAAATATAACAGAAGAAATGTTAAAGACCCAATGAAAATTAAACTAAAAATTTTTGAATAAATTTTTTTATATATTTTCTAATAACTTTTTCAGCAAGTTTAAATTCTAACTGGGCAGGGCTAAAAGATTTTACCATTTGCGACCTCTAATATGAATATAAAAACTTATTGATAGAAAAAAAAATTGAGTACCACACCCAGGAACTAAAGAATCTTATATTAAATTTTTTAATTTTTATTAGAATATCTAAAAATGTTTTAATCGTGATACTTTTATATGTCCTTTTGTTTTATTTCCCTTCACCTTTTTTGAAAAATTATAAATTTATTAAAATCGATCTCGTTTTGTAGACCTGTTTCAAATAGAATGTAACTTTGCATGTTGATTATATATGTTGTGAGAACCTATTCAATTAAATTTTTTAAGCTCTAACTCAATTAGTTCCGGATATATGGGTCAAGGCTTGAAATTGGGGCGTCCTACCTAATTCAGAAAAACCGATAAAAATATATATTACTCAAAAATATAAATTATAGGGATCTATAAATTTAAATTATTTTTAAGAAAGGGATTTAAGGGCTATCTAATGATACCAAATATACGTTTCTATCATTTATATTTTTTTAGGTTTTTAGACAATCTTTATTTTTATCGATTTTTTTGAATTAAGGATACCATTTTCAGGCTTTGACCCATCATATATCCGGAGCTAATCGAGTTAATAAAAAATTAAATTGCACAGGTCCTCACAACATATATAATCATCAGGCAAAGTTCATTCGATTTAAAAGAGGTTCAAGAAAATGGCCAATTTTTGATCGATTTGTAGCCCAATAACTAAATCTTAACTTCAACTTCTATGCGACAATGTCTCAGGGCAAACTTATCCGTTTGGAACTATCGCACCTCTCCCACCATGTGAGACTGAAGGCAAGATTTTGGCAGAAGTGATAATTAGTAATAGAAATTTATATTTTTAGATGAGAAAAACATATTTGAATTTGAACACCTATTTAATATGAGATATACTTATGTAATAAAAAATCAGAATCAATATAAGCAAGGAATCAGCAAATGAAATTAAGAATATGATCGGATTGGGACACTATGAATCAGTGTACATCTAATTAAAATTAGTTTGGTAAAAAATATTCTTTTAAAATTTTTTTTTAATTATGATAGGATTATGATTATCTAGCTACCGTTACATATTCTTATATATAATATTGCTTTACCTTTAAGCAAGAACATATAATCAAAATTGTATTTTAAAAAAGAAATTATTTTATTGAAATTTATATTTTTCTTATTATAACATAAGTCAAAACTGAGTCAAATTATAAAATTAACTTGATTCGAGGTATCCTTGTTCTGATGTTAAAGCGTGCTTATTAGCAATGGGGAGATCGAGCATTTCAATGTTTTCGATGTAGGCCAATGCCTCTTCTCTAACCCATTTAATTTTACCTAATATATTTTAAAATATTTATTACGTTGATATAAGGCTATGTCCTCAATCTAAAAAATATAAGTAAATAAATTTATTAATTTTGAAGAAAAAAATAACATAAGCGATTTTTAAAGCAAAAAAGAATAGCAAAATAATTTTTCGTCATTAGTGTTGTTAAACTAGTATATAAACATCATTGAAATTTAAATATAAACATTATTCAAAAAAATATTGTAAATAACGATGCAGAAAAATTTATAAAAATTGTGGCTGATACTTATCAATCAGAATTGAATGATAATTTTTAAACGGATATAAATTAAAATTTTGGCAATATACTAGTAAGAAATTTCACATTATTTATTAAACATAAAATAATGAAGTTAAACCGGGTTGACAGGCCTTTTTAGGTTCGGTTTAGGTAGATGATTTAACAGTTTAGTTTGGATAATAAATAATGAAGATTCGGTTCAGGTTCTGTTGGATCCCTAGTAAAAATAAACTAGTCCCATTTAAACGGTCCCTTATAAAGATTAATCCCGAAAGATTGAACCATGTTTAACTATATTTGTTAAATGTTGAGAATAGAAATATTTCATATTACCTTTGGATATCAACATTAATGAATAGTCATCTAATCGAATAAGCACACTGTATTTGCTAGGCGTATCATAATCATCCGTAGGAATCGTAACCAAAAACTGTTATTTTTTTAAATTTAATTTTATAAAATCATGATTAACGTTTTTTAAAAAACCGAAAGGATGTTAGATAGGTTGGGTAGGGATAGGAGTACTTTTGTCCTTTTAGTCAATGTAGAATCCCATTTTTCGTAAGTTAAAACGTAGGTATTTAATTCTACAATTTGGTTTTCCAGAGCCTATTGTATGATATAATATAACAAAAAATATTATAGCATATGATTTCATAATAAATCTGTTTTTAAAATTCTCTATCACCTCTAACAGTGGACGCTGCGGCTTCAGATTTTGCGATAATTAGATTAAATTCAAAAAACTTTGAAACAAAATAATTTTTTACAAAAAACTAAAAAGAGTAGGGGAGACTGGGGTTAGGTAAACCGTAGGGCTTGGCAAACCATTTAATATTATTTTAAAATTATAAACACTAGAAGGTTAAAATTTTATCCTAATATAGATTTTATTAGTTTACATCTATAGACAAAAAATCTTATGAAATGATTAATTATTAAAAATTTTATTTAAGAAATAAAATTTTGATGAAATTTTCTAAAGATTTTTACATGACAGAATTTTAATTTTTATTAAAATATATATTCATTTATATATAAATTAAATTTTATAGCAAAGTTTAAACACTCTTCTATAATTTGGGAAAGTTTTATGAATATTTTTATGTCTATATAGTATTTCAATCATGATTAGTAAATTTAGAGCTAGCGGGGCTTGCTAAACCATACATGCTAATCCATTTCAAAAATTTTTTTTAGCAATTATTACATTATTCGATATGGTGCGAAAATATAAATCCAAAAAAATTAATATAGGAGAATCATTTAATATTGATAATTATTTAGAAGTATATAAAAATTTAATGAATTAATATTATAATTGTAATTAGGCTATTAGGGTATATGAAAATTGTAAATCAACAAGGAAGACTAGCCAACTTACAGGTAAATTTATCTACATTATCTGTCTTATTTTTAAGATATAATCACAATAATTTTATGTAATTTTTAAACAATATAATCAATTTTTAGCAATATTTAATAATAGAAATTATGTAATATTTTTATTAAATGTAATTTATAAATGATCTTATATTTTAGATTGATTACAATTTAGATGAAATATAGTATTATTGTATTAATTTTATGTAATTCTTAAACAATAAAATCAATTTTTAGCAATATTTAATAATAGAAATTATGTAAATATTTTTATTAAATGTAATTTATAAATGATCTTATATTTTAGATTGATTACAATTTAGATGAAGTATAGTATTATTGTATTAATTTTATGTAATTCTTAAACATTAAAATCAAATTTTAGCAATATTTAATAATAGAGAATATGCTAATAAAATCTAAATGGTAATGGTAAAGAGATTATCATTTTTAAATTTTATGTTCTTAAATGTTAAACTTATAATTAAATAATTATATATTTTACTTGACATTTTTATTTTAGGTATTCCTAGATCAAACTTTATGAGATATTATAAGAGATATCAAGAAAGTGGCATACTTACTAGTGTAGGACAAAATAATAAAAAGAGGATATTCACAGAAGAAGAAGAGGGAGATATAACTAAATATCTGATTCAATCTAGCCAAATTTTTTATGGCCTTTCAATTAAAAAGGTATAGTTTATTCTTCATTATTTTATATTGTTTTTTAGATAAAAATATTAGCCTACCAAATGGCAGTAAATATGAAGAAAAAATTTCCTAAATCTTGGAAGGACAATTCAATGGCTGGCCATGACTGGTATTTAGGATTTATGTCAAGAAATCCTACTCTCTCCTTAAGATCCCCTGAAGCTACAAGTATGGCTAGGGCAACTGGATTTAATGAAGAAAATGTTCTATACTTTTTTGATTTATATAAAAGTTTATTAAATGATTTGTTAAGTAAATGTTTACATTTAATATTTAGGAATATTAGATGAACATAAATTAGAATGTATGGCAATTTACAACATGGATGAAACTGGACTTACCACAGTTCAAACCCCATCCAAGATTATTGCACAAAAGGGTCAAAAACAGGTAGGATCTATTACTTCCGCAGAAAGGGGTACCTTAATAACATTAGCGCTTGCTGTAAATGCAATTGGTCATACAATTCCTCCAATGTTTCTTTTTCCCAGAAAAAAATATTATGACTATTTTGTTAGAGATGGTCCATCTGGCTCTATAGGGGTATCAAATGGTTCTGGATAGATGCAAGAGGAGGATTTTATTATTTTTTTGAAGCATTTTTCTAAACACACTCGGTGTACTCCAAAGTCCAAAGTTTTATTAATCCTTGACAATCATATATCACACCACTCCTATTCAGCTGTCAAATTTCGTTAAATCTTTTTGTTTTCTGAATTAGTGCTCAAAATTGAATGCCATAATATTCGCCTAATTCCTAATAAGTGGTGCCGTCGGAGTGGAAAATGAGTGTTTAGCGAGTCTAAATTTAATCAGAACCCATCTAAAATATTCTATTCAAGCCGAATGTAATTTTTAGTATGTAGGGGAGACTGGGGTTAGGTGAACCGATTTTTACAAAATTGTTTATAGCTCCTGGGTTTTTTTAGATAATATAAAAAGCAATATATGATTGGATACCTAAAACTATACTCTATAAAGGTGCCTTATAAAAAAATTCTATAATATAATCATTTTTTTGAAATTTTATTTTTTGTAAAAGTCGTAAATTTGCACAACAAGCCCCAATAGCGGGGTGAGGCAAACCACTTCAAGGGGCTTCCTAAACCAATAGGCCATAATAAATTGAAATGTATTTTTATTTATTAATAATGATACATATACTATAATTTTATTCTTTTATTGTTAAAAATATCATAATACATATAAATTGAAGCTAATTATATATAAAAATTGAAACTTAATTTTGGTTAATTTAATACACATTTTGGACATATAAAAAATTTATCAAAATTAGCACATGTACCATGTGCCCATTCGTGGCACATTCTGCACTGGTACCACTCTTCACCATTATGATGTTTGATATATTCCAGCTTACAACAAATACAAATATCTTTGTGAATAATTTTTTTCACTATTTTTCTCTTGTTAATATTTTCTTTTTCCATTATTTTCTTTTCTTTCTCAATTAATTTCTTTTTATAAGGAGATGATGTAAATATCTCTGCTCTCCTTTTAACTCTCTTGACTCTTTCCTTTTTGGGATGAGGCAAGGATATTGATAAATTGCACGATAGTCCAGGAATATTATCTAAATGAACATAAGACGTAGATGGAGTATCATTACATATATCTAAGTTTCTATTAGTATTTAAAACAGAGACCTGCAGGCCCGACCCTAAACCCGGCCGGGGCAGGGCCGGGCCGTATTTTAAATTTTTTAAATATACCCGGGCCGGGCCTAAAAAAATTTTTTTTAAATATATCTGGGCCGGGCCGGGCCTTAATATTTTTTATAAAAATTTTTACATTATGAGTTAATTAGTTATAAGATTATATTATATTATAGTTATGATTAATATAATATTGGGTGATGGTTAACACTACCTAACAACCCACAGATCGATCTAATTATTAATTTCCTGCAAATTTTTTCAAAGTATTAATATATTTTTTTATAATTCATATAATTTTTACAACATATTTTACCAAAACAATCAAATAAAGGAATATCTTAAATAAGCCCCAATATTCAAGTATTATTAATATATTTTTTTATAATTCATATCTAAATTTTTAGAATATATTTTACCAAAACAATCAAATAAAGGAATATCACTTCTTAAAGTTTGTAATACCTTTCAAAGCGAAAAGGAGAAATAAAATTGATTTTACTTAATATAAAGCTTTTTTTATAGAAAAGGCCTTCGATAGAATCCCAAGAAAACTTATCTGGTGGGCGCTACGCCACAAAAAAGTTAGTATCATTTTATTTCTCTTTTTCTCTGTCCCAAATTCAAGCAATTACGTATGTAGTCAGGGACAGATCGCAAAATGACGGAAAACTATATAAAAGATTATATTAAATTACAAGAGGCTCAGGAAGTAAATAAAATACCATCGACAAGTCAAATTACGACTGTTGTTAAACAAACTGAATCGTTTTATGACAAATGGGGCGATGATAATTCTGGTAATATGTCAATACCCTATGATGAATATTATAATTACATAAATAATAGATAAAACATTTAAGGTAAATAATTTGTTAGAGTGGTGGGCGGCTCATCAAAGCGAATTTCCAATTTTAGCAAAATTGGCAATTCCTGCTTTAAGTGCAAGCTGTGAGCGGAATTTTTCCACTACTGGGAGAATTCTTGAAGAAAGAAGAAGTAATCTTCAACCTGAAAAGGTAGATATGCTTCTCTTTCTTCATGATAATTTGTGAATTTTTAATATCTTTCTTGAGTATAGGGTTTCGTCAATCATGCTGGTTTTTTACTTTGCAAACTGTCAAATATATTTACCTTGAGTCATGAAAGTTTTTAATCCAACATTTTTCATTATTTTTTTTTACAATATTATATAATACAATTATCTTCTTTTGTTAAAAATTTATATTATAAAATAAATTATATTAATATTGTGCAATTAGATTATATTTTCAAAATACTATTTATTATACATACATTTTTTTAAATAGCGATTTATTTTTATTTTATAAATTAAATATCTCAAAATATTTTCCATTTTTATAAATTAAATATTAGTTTTATTTTTTTTAAATGTAATATAAAATATAGTATATGACAAATATTATTACCATTTTTATGAATATTAGTTTAATTTTTATAAATGCAATATAAAATATAGTATATGCTCATATCCATTTTTATAAATAACAGTTTTATAATTTTTATAAATTCAATACAATATTCTCAAAATATTAGCTTTTTACATGTATTTTTTAAATAATAAGCGATAATACTCGCTGAAAAATATGGTAAAATACCTCATAGGTGAATTTTTGTATATACCAGGTCGAATATAATTTAAAAAAATTCCGAGCCGGGCCTGAAATTTTTTTAAAAAAAAATATCCGGGCCGAGCCTTAAATTTTTAAATCCGGGCCGGGCCGGGCCGTAAAAAATTTTTATTTTAAATATCCGGGCCGGGCCTAAAAAATTTAAAACCGGGCCGGGCCGTGCAAATGGTACCTCTGCAGGTCTCTGATTTAAAATATCTTTTAATACCAAAGATACTGAGCTTAATTCTAATAATGGGCTTTTTGGAAGTTCACATATAGAATCTCCATAAACTGAGGCCACATAATCTTCTTTATTGAATATATCTGTATTCAGTGGATATATTCCACATGCTTTAAAACCATTTGATATATTGAGAGGTGATGCTGCTAAAGGCAAGACATCCTTAATAACTGATGGAATATCATAAATTGTAAATAATTTATGAAGTGCATTATTGTAATATTTTTTGAGAGGCCCAAAAACAGACCGATCAAGAGGCTGTAATTTATGTGTGCAATGGGGTGGCAAAGATAATAGAATTATTCCCGTATCTATACAAAATTTGACAGCTGAATAGGAGTGGTGTGATATATGATTGTCAAGGATTAATAAAACTTTGGACTTTGGAGTACACCGAGTGTGTTTAGAAAAGTGCTTCAAAAAAATAATAAAATCCTCCTCTTGCATCCATCCAGAACCATTTGATACCCCTATAGAGCCAGATGGACCATCTCTAACAAAATAGTCATAATATTTTTTTCTGGGAAAAAGAAACATTGGAGGAATTGTATGACCAATTGCATTTACAGCAAGCGCTAATGTTATTAAGGTACCCCTTTCTGCGGAAGTAATAGATCCTACCTGTTTTTGACCCTTTTGTGCAATAATCTTGGATGGGGTTTGAACTGTGGTAAGTCCAGTTTCATCCATGTTGTAAATTGCCATACATTCTAATTTATGTTCATCTAATATTCCTAAATATTAAATGTAAACATTTACTTAACAAATCATTTAATAAACTTTTATATAAATCAAAAAAGTATAGAACATTTTCTTCATTAAATCCAGTTGCCCTAGCCATACTTGTAGCTTCAGGGGATCTTAAGGAGAGAGTAGGATTTCTTGACATAAATCCTAAATACCAGTCATGGCCAGCCATTGAATTGTCCTTCCAAGATTTAGGAAATTTTTTCTTCATATTTACTGCCATTTGGTAGGCTAATATTTTTATCTAAAAAACAATATAAAATAATGAAGAATAAACTATACCTTTATTTGAAAGGCCATAAAAAATTTGGCTTGATTGAATCAGATATTTAGTTATATCTCCCTCTTCTTCTTCTGTGAATATCCTCTTTTTATTATTTTGTCCTACACTAGTAAGTATGCCACTTTCTTGATATCTCTTATAATATCTCATAAAGTTTGATCTAGGAATACCTAAAATAAAAATGTCAAGTAAAATATATAATTATTTAATTATAAGTTTAACATTTAAGAACATAAAATTTAAAAATGATAATCTCTTTACCATTACCATTTAGATTTTATTAGCATATTCTCTATTATTAAATATTGCTAAAATTTGATTTTAATGTTTAAGAATTACATAAAATATACAATAATACTATACTTCATCTAAATTGTAATCAATCTAAAATATAAGATCATTTATAAATTACATTTAATAAAAATATTTACATAATTTCTATTATTAAATATTGCTAAAAATTGATTTTATTGTTTAAGAATTACATAAAATTAATAAAATAATACTATATTTCATCTAAATTGTAATCAATCTAAAATATAAGATCATTTATAAATTACATTTAATAAAAATATTTACATAATTTCTATTATTAAATATTGCTAAAAATTGATTATATTGTTTAAAAATTACATAAAATTATTGTGATTATATCTTAAAAATAAGACAGATAATGTAGATAAATTTACCTGTAAGTTGGCTAGTCTTCCTTGTTGATTTACAATTTTCATATACCCTACAATTATAATATTAATTCATTAAATTTTTATATACTTCTAAATAATTATCAATATTAAATGATTCTCCTATATTAATTTTTTTGGATTTATATTTTCGCACCATATCGAATAATGTAATAATTGCTAAAAAAAAATTTTGAAATGGATTAGCATGTATGGTTTAGCAAGCCCCGCTAGCTCTAAATTTACTAATCATGATTGAAATACTATATAGACATAAAATTATTCGTAAAACTTTCCCAAATTATAGAAGAGTGTTTAAACTTTGCTATAAAATTTAATTTATATATAAATGAATATATATTTTAATAAAAATTAAAATTCTGTCATGTAAAAATCTTTAGAAAATTTCATCAAAATTTTATTTCTTAAATAAAATTTTTAATAATTAATCATTTCAAAAGATTTTTTGTCTATAGATGTAAACTAATAAAATCTATATTAGGATAAAATTTTAACCTTTTAGTGTTTATAATTTTAAAATAATATTAAATGGTTTGCCAAGCCCCACGGTTTACCTAACCCCAGTCTCCCCTATATATATAAATGAATTATTCTGTTTTTAGCTAACAAATGACAAAATCTAAAGATGCATCTGTATTTAATGGATCTATTTTTTAAATTTATTAATTTTCAAGATATTTAAGTATTACAAGATTTCTATTAGTATGTATGAAATGCCGTAGCGCCAACTACAGATAGAGGTAACAGTGAGCTAATATTTTGAACTTATTATCCTTGGTAGATAATAAAAATATTAAAAACTTCAGGATTCTTCAATTCAGATTTCGAAGGTGAAAGAGTAAACACATAAATTTGATTCGATTTGTCCGTATTAAAGGAAAAATATTGTACCTATAAATATCATACAATATATATATGCTTGCATCATAAATAAGTTAAAAGTATTTGAAGCAAATTTATTTTATTTAATAAAAAATGATTATTAGTCTGTCTCATAAAAAATATATTATAATCTACGTTATTTTAAAAAGTAGGATCAATTTAGGGCTGTGCTGATCTACAAATTTCAGGCTACATAAAAAAATTCAAACTGTTTTAAATCATTTTTAAAAGTCCATTTTTTTTAAATCGGAAAATTTTATTTCTCCGGAAATGTACCGCATGTTTAGAACATGGTTTAAAAATCTTCAAATGAGCATTTGAAGATTTTTTTCGCCCAAAATTTTGAACCAAAAATTTTGAGAACTAAAAATTTGAAGATTATTTCGTAAAAACAAATTTTTTAAATAATCTTCTTATAAAAATATTTAAAAAATTTACCAGATGTTTTTTAAATAAAAACATCGCGAAAATAAAAGATTTTTTTACAAATAATATTTTTTATTTTGCTCGAAAATCTTCTTTGAAAATGCTCAAAATTTTTTTTTATAAAAAAATCTTTTGATCTTCAAAAGAACACGGATCTTTGAAGATTTTTGAATTTGAGCAAATGTTAAACCCTGGTTTAGAATATCTACTCTATGATTAAAACAATTTTACTGCTAACTTTGGAGTAATTTATAATCTATATTCAAAAGTTCATCGCAAAATTTCCTAACATGTTAGAATATATTTCGGGTGAAATCTGATTTTTTAAAAAAAGCGTTCAAAAAATGATTTAAAGTAACATATTGATGGAAAAAACTAGTGATGTTAAAAGTTACTTTTGAAACATAACTAGTTACAGTTACTAGTTACATTGGCAAAAACATAACTAGTTACAGTTACTAGTTACATTTTTACAAAAGTAACTAGTTATTAGTTACAGTTATTTTCAAAAGTAACTAGTTAATTACTTTATACATCATTCATATACGCATTATTTATTTATTGAATGCATTTATTTAATAAAAAAAATTAGGATAAACAAAGTATAATCAGTTATTTAAAATAATATACAATTTATTTATATAAAAAAATATCGCAAAATTGAATATTTACATCGAATATAAAAATATATATTTGCATTGAAAAAAAAACATTTATTTTTCATAAAAATTAGAATCTAATAAGTGTTTATTTGCTTTTAACAACAATTAATTTCAAAGTTATTATCTAGGAGACGTGCTCGTTTATCTCCAAAAATGAGCTTACCTAGACTGAACAAGCGCTCTACGGGAGCACTTGATGTTAGAACAACATTATATTTAATAAAGAGTAATTTTAACTTTGGAAAATCGTTATATAAAGAAAAAGTGTTGTTAGATTTGATAAAGTTTTCTATAAGTTCATTATCCAGAATATTTTGGCGCATTAGGTCAAAAAATCCAACTACATCAAGTGATGTTGGTTTTGAGCATGATTCATTCGTCTGGGATTCACTTTGAGGTATTAAGGTATTTATTAAATTATAAAATTTCCTCCTTTTTTTGCTTTATTCCTTTCTTGCCTAATCCAAGGCAAGTCAGTTTTAAATAAAGGGTGAAGAATTGCAGCAATGATGTTGTCATTATCATAAAGATTATTAAACCTATAACATGATATTTTTGTTAGACTTGGTTCTTGTAAGTAATGATTAATAATTTAATATTAAATTCTAAAATAATCTGTCTTTGTTTTTCCTTATACTAAATTTAAATTTTTTTTTATTACGCATTTCAAAAATTATAACTAGTTACAGTTACTAGTTACAATTTTAAAAATATAACTAGTTAACAGTTATTTTTTAGCCAAAATGTAACTAGTTACAGGTAACTAGTTACTTATAACTAGTTACCTTAACATCACTAGAAAAAACACATTTAAGATTAGTGATGCAAAATCGCGACACTCAAAACGACTCCAAAACGGTTTAGCCGAGTTTATAGCCGAAAAAATTGGCTCAACCTTGGAGCTCAAGCCGAACAAATAGGCTCAACTTGGAGCTCAAGCTGAAAAATTGGCTCAGCTTTGGAGTGGAGCCTAAAAAATTGGCTCAGCCTTGAACTCGAAATCTGTATAATATCGAAATAATTATATCGGAAAATCTTGGGATTTTGATATTTGAAGCATTCGCTTTCTACTCTTCCACTCGACATTAATGTTCTCAAAACCAATAAAAACCTAAACGATCGATATTTTATTTAATCTGGAAAATTGTTAAGCATAATCATAATTATTCTACAAAATAAAATAACCTGGTTAGGAGGTTCCAATTATATAAAATAAAATAGAAATCATATATTATTTATCGAAGGAACGATTTACATTCTGAAAATGTCTTAATTATATTTTTATGGATCCAATACCATTATATGAAAGTAAATAAGTTCAAAAGGTTTCAGGCAGGTTTAGCTAGTGCAAAGTAAAAGAATTAAATCGGTAATTTATAAATTATTTTATCTTTTTTTCTAGTTTTTATTTTTGGGAGGTTTTATTGGTATAAGTTTTATTTATCAGATTGTCTTATATACAAAGTAATATAATTGATTTATTAAACAACTGTAAAAATTATAAATTAATTGAAGGTTTAACTTGGGCCTACTAAAACAACCTATTAACACCAAAATATTTCTAATTTTAATATTTTTATTAAAAATTTCTATATGGCTGTCCGGTCTTCTTTCACATACTAAATATCATGTTAAAAATCAAAATGTCCAATTTTATCTAAAATATGATTACCTACTAAAATATATTTCTAAATATAAATAAAGAACAAATAGCTCATCTTGTTCCTTAACATAATTATTAATATGACACTTACTAATTTATATTTAAAAAAATTGTAAATAACTTCCATCGAGTTTTAATTAATATTTTCAGAGCAAAAAAATTTTCCTATATCGATATTTATTTTGGTTCCATGTCAATTCAGCGAAACTTTTATCGCGAATGTCGTTTATCGCGAATGAATTTTATAGCGAAACTTTTATCGCGAATCCACATTAGCGAATACTTTTCCGCGAAAACAATATAGCGAAACAAATATGGCGAATTTTTTATAGCGAAACTCTTATCGCGAAACCTTTAAAGCGAATATATTAGAGCGAAATTTTTATCGCGAATCAATAATCGCGAAAATTTTATAGCGAAGTCAATATCGCGAAACATAAATCGCGAAGACAATATAGCGAAAACTATTTCGCAAAATATAACGCGGCCTATTATTATTTTTTTTTAAATTAAAATAATTTATTTTATTTATATTTAATGTTAATATTTTTTATTTATATTATTATATTATGAAATTTTTTTATTATTCATTTATCTTTAAAACATGTAATCAAAATATAAATATAAAAAATGAATATATGTCGTATTGGGATATGGAATCATGTGGGATTCGGAATCCCAAAGTGGGGATTCAAGAATCCCCATGTTTTATTCGGGATCTTTTTTTTTAAATATTCCGAATCCCCATGAATAAAAAATAAAATAATATAATTACTTTTTCTTCTCTTTTTTGCGGCTGGCACCATATAATTAAAAGGCCAAAATAAGGGATTTGAAAAGAGAATTAAAAAAAAGTAAATAGTATAAAATTAAGGCATATAATGAATGAAAAGGGATGAGGTTAAGACTTTTTTGTTTTAAAAAATATTAAAAAATATATTTATAAAAAATCCGAATTATTGCAACAATTATTCAATGCAACATGGCATTTCATTGAACATTTAAGCAGGGACCCAACATTTATAACGGTTCAGTTTGGTTACGGTTCTAATGGTTTATTTTTCTGGATGTAATATTGAGTTAGCCGTTTTTAAAAATCAATTATGAATAAGGAAAAATACTATGTATCTTTAGGTTGAGCCAAATAAGGTCAGACTCATTTAGAGATTGTTAAAACTAAATTATTTATAATAAAGAACAAATTTTAAGTTGAGATTATCAATATGTTTTTTTAAAAAAAGGCTAAATATATATTTTTATTTAGTAATTTTATATATTTTTATATAGTTTTAATATTTTAGCGTTTTGTCATTTTTTTTTAAAATTATACCAATATCAATATTATCAAAATAAAATTTTAAATAATAAAACAAATAACAATGGCAATATTTTGAAGTTTTGGAAGCAAGAAAATTTATTTCCTTTTTTGAGAAAATTAGAGAATAAAATTTTGTCAGCCCTGGCAAATTCGGCTTCTAGTGAAAGGTTATTTTCTGTAGCCAATCGCCTATTAGAGGAAAGGCGTACACAATTGAAATAAAAAAAAACACATTCTTTTTCTAAGTAAAAATTTGGATTTATAATATGTATTAATTTTTTGTTATATGGATTATGGAATTAAAGAAATAAATTCAAAAAAGTGTATAAATTTATAGCATTAAAGTTTTGAAAAATTTAAAAACACCGTGAATTTTCGGGCGTGAAACAAAATATTGCCTTCGAGTATTTAATGATTTAAAGCAAAAAAGTAATACATATTAAATATCTCTAAAAAATAAAATTTTCTGGTGCCAGCCAGGCGGCAAAAAAATATAATTTAATTGTTTTTTTAAAAAAAAGATTCCGAATCCCCTTAGATATTTTTATTAAAAAAATTTATTTTTGTTATAAATATCTGAACCATAAAACCGAACCGATATAATTATTTTTTGAAGGAGTAAAAATTATAAAAAACGGTTAAACTGGTTCAGTTTTTATATTTTAGAAATGGAAATAATTTAAATATCCAGAATTATATAAACGTGCTCTTATAGTACTGGCGGTTCCTGCAACACAAGTTTCTGTAGAAAGGGCTTTTTGTGTTATCGTCACAACGAACAAAAAGGAATCCATTTATAAAAATATATTAATTATAAATTCAAATAATATATTTAAAAATGAGTTATTTTGAATCTTATATATATTTTTTTATATATAATTCATAGATGCTTATAATAAAAATAAATTAGAAAATGGTGTTGCTTCAATAAAAAAAAATT